AAAATCCCTTTGCCATTGGAAGAGACGGAACGCGCGTTGAGACCTTCACTGCTAATTTGAATGCCGCCCTTGGATCGAATTAGCAGGACTTACAAATTAATGCAGATTGTCTGTCGTTCTCACTACTTTGAGGAAATATTTGTTGTATTAATGTTTATGTTACATCAGATCATTCACGCTAGAACTCGGCTAATGTACATTGCATACATGCACTGTTATTGATACAGTTTCCACGTATTCACCGCAATATATTAGTAAAATACTCGATAAATAAATGAGTACAAGTAAAATAATCGGTTTGTTGATGGACATGCACTTGTTAATGCTGATGGTGAGGAATTATAGTTGCAGCATCTTATAATGTACCTCAAACTGACTGAGTAGTGTACCACTGAGAAACATCATGCTCGAGTCATCCTGGCGATGGAGGTTCGGGTTGAATAACAAGCTCTTCCAGTGTTTCATCATCGGACTCGCGCTCGCATTGATATGGTCAAATCAACGCGATTGTTAGTTACTGAAGGACACGCAGAGCTGATGTTGTTATGGCAATGAGCGTTTTTTTTTCTCGAAGCTCTGTACACGGTAGGCCAATCACAACAGACTGAGCTGTCTGGCCAATCAGAGCAGAGTAGCTCGCGGAAAGATTGATCATCTCACGAGTCGTTTGAGAATCATTGAAAATGTGATGATGTGCAAATGTATATTATGAGGAAATTAAACAGTTTTTTTTTTTACTTTGATGCATGTAAACATGTTGTAGGAGACTCCACAACAACATTAGGAAACTTTAAAATAGCATAATAGGGGCCCTTTAACAAATTACTTGTCTGGCCTTAAACATTTATAATACAGAATTATTTATCGCTTCAGAGTCGCCATGTGAACCGGAGCTATTTTGACAACGTTTTATCTGTACAGAGGTAAACGGAAGGGAGCAAGGCCTTCACAGGGGAGGGACTAGTTGACACTTCAGGACTGCTTTGTCGTCGTGTCCAGACGCAGGTCCTTCATCAGATCTGGATACGGCCTGGATCCAAAGGACTGCGTTAAACCTCGGGATAAACAGAGAGACTAATATTAGCGTAGACGCCATTCTTCTTATCATGTAACAAGTACATAAAAATTTATTGGAAGTGTTCCCGGTTCCGGCTGACCTAATCTATGCAGCCTAACATTGAATTATAGAAGTCTATAGTGTGTTATGTGTATGCAAGGTCAAAGAGATGTGTTTTAGTCTAGCTTTGAACTGACAGAGTGTGTCTGCTTCCCGGACAATGTTAGGAAGACTGTTCCAGAGTTTTGGTGCTAAATAGGAAAAGGATCTACCGCCAGCAGTCGATTTTGATATTCTAGGTATTATCAACTGGCCGGAGTTTTGAGATCGCAATAGACGTGAAGGACTATAATGCGTTAAGAGCTCGCTCAAGTACTGCGGAGCTAAACCATTTAGTGCTTTGTAAGTAATTAGCAATATTTTAAAATGTATACAATGTTTATTAGGCAGCCAATGCCGTGTTGACAGAACCGGGCTAATATGGTCATACTTCTTGGTTCTGGTAATGTAGACTTGGAATTAAGCCTTTTCCCCGTTATTATTTGATTCACGGGACCAGACACCAGTTATCTTGCCAAGAAAGATTTTTATTCTTATATGTCAGGAGAGAAACTCTGAGAAGATGTTATATTCATGCCAGGTCTATGCGTTTCGTGTTTCTCCTTCCTCTCACCCAGTCATGCCTCCATGTTTCTCTGCTGTAGTACAGTAAGATTGAGTTTTTATACATCACAGAGAGTCTTACAGCTTCCTTGTAAGGTAACAAAACATATTGCTTATGCTTAAAATGAAATGTATATGCACATGGTACAATCCACTTTCCACATTAAGAAACTATTTCTCAGTGTATACATTAGTGGTATACAAATGGTACATTTGCATCAGTTGAAACATTCATTTTCTTGCAAAGAGCATACCAACTGTACACATTTGAAGTATATTCATCATTGGAACTCTCTGCTAAGTGAACATTACATACCTCTAAGCAGAATACATAATCCTCCCAGCTACCCTCCTTGTGTCTAAAATATGTTCCTTAAACACATGTGTCCATGCAATCTATAGTCTACTCATGCATTTTAAACTTCATAAGATAATACAACTTATTATGAATACTAAATAAAGAATAATAATACAGATACATAATATTAATTAATGAAATTATATTCAAAGATGAAATTTTAGTCTTCAGGTAAGAACTCGAGCGGCTGCGTTTTGGACCAGCTGTAGTTTATTTATTAAGCGTGCAGGGCAACCACCCAGTAGAGCATTACAATAATATAGCCTTGATGTCATGAACGCATGAACTAATTGTTCCGCATTCGTCAATGAGAGCATATGACGTAATTTAGATATATTTTTAAGATGGAAAAAAGCGGTTTTAAAGATACTATTCACGTGACTTTCAAATGAAAGATTGCTATCAAAGAGCACACACACACACCCAGGTTCCTAACCGACGACGAAGACTTGACAGAGCAGCCATCAAGTGTTAGACAGTATTCTTGGTTATTACGTGTGGAAGTTTTTTGTCCAATAATTACAATCTCTGTTTTTTCAGAATTAAGTAGTAGGAAATTACTAGTCATCCAGTTTTTTATATCAGCTATGCATTCCATTAATTTTGTGAATTGGTAAGTTTCGTCAGGACGTGAAGAAATATACAGCTGAGTATCATCGGCATAACAGTGAAAACTAATTCCATGTTTCCTAATGATATCTCCTAATGGTAGCATTTACAGAGTGAACAGCAGCGGTCCTAGTACTGAGCCTTGTGGTACACCATACTGAACTTGTGATCGATAAGAAATCTCTTCATTTACTGCTACAAACTGATAACGGTCAGATAAGTATGATTTAAACCATGCTAGTGCAATTCCACTAATGGCAACAAAATTTTCGAGTCTATTTAAAAGAATGTTGTGGTCAATAGTATCAAATGCAGCACTAAGATCGAGTAACACTAATAGAGAGATATAACTACGACTGCAACTACTAGCAAATCATTTGTGACTCTAATGAGAGCTGTCTCAGTGCTATGGTACGGTCTAAATCCTGACTGGAAATCCTCGCAGATATCATTTCTTTCTAGAAAGGAACATAGTTGTGAGGATACTGTCTTTTCTAGTATCTTTGACAGAAAAGGTAGATTCGAGATCGGCCTGTAATTGACTAATTCTGTAGGATCAAGCTGCTTTATTTTTAACAAGTGGTTCAATCATAGCCAGCTTAAATGTTTTTGGTATATATTGTATGGTCTGAAAGCAAAACTGACAATTCTGTCATCAGAAGGAGGCTTTATTCAGCTCGGCAAGCTCCTAATACGACTTGTGTGCTACATTACACATTTCCTATAACCATGTTTGTGTGATGGACAGACCAACATTAGTTTACAACAAGTGTTTATCAGTGGTGATCTTTCCATTTTTGAATCTACACTCTTAAAAATAAAGGGTTCTAAAGGGGGCTGTTGCAGGGATGCCATAGAAGAGCCATTTCTGGTCTCAAAAGAAATATTTCAGTGTGCAGATCTTAAAAAAAAAAAAAAAAATTCTTGGTGTGAAGAACATTGTAAAAAAAAAAATTCCACTATGATGAACCTTTTGTAAAATGGAAAGGTTCCATCGATGTTAAAGGTTCTTCATGGAACCATCAAGCAGAGATTTGTCAAAGCATCACATGACTTCAGAATAGATGGAATATAGCATGTAAGCCATAAAGACTAGAGTTTTGATATGTTTATGATGCTTATATGGTCTTTTCAGGTCACTCTTTCTTCTCTTTGATGTTTGATAGGCTATGAACTTTTGCTGTATGGAAACAAGCTGCATGAAGATTCTCCACAGAATAAATAAATTTGGGACACGAGTGCAAGTAAAAGATGACAGAAGGGACATTATGTGGTTAATTATTGAAGTAACGTTGACTAATGAGAGATTACCTGCATACACAGGTAGAGAGTGGAGAGATTACCTGCGGACACAGGTAGAGAGTGGGGAGATTACCTGCGGACACAGGTAGAGAGTGAGGAGATTACTTGCGGACACAGGTAGAGAGTGGAGAGATTACCTGCGGACACAGGTAGAGAGTGGAGAGTTTACCTGCGGACACAGGTAGAGAGTGAGGAGATTACTTGCGGACACAGGTAGAGAGTGAGGAGATTACCTGCGGACACAGGTAGAGATTGAGGAGATTACCTGGGTACACAGGTAGAGAGTGAGGAGATTACCTGCGGACACAGGTAGAGAGTGGAGAGGTAGAGTGGAGAGATTACCTGCGGACACAGGTAGAGAGTGGAGAGGTAGAGTGGAGAGATTACCTGGGGACTCAGGTATAGAGTGAGGAGATTACCTGGGGACACAGGTAGAGAGTGGAGAGGTAGAGTGGAGAGATTACCTGCGGACACAGGTAGAGAGTGGAGAGGTAGAGTGGAGAGATTACCTGCGGACACAGGTAGAGAGTGGAGAGGTAAAGTGGAGAGATTACCTGGGGACTCAGGTAGAGAGTGAGGAGATTACCTGGGGACACAGGTAGAGATTGAGGAGATTACCTGCGGACAGGGGCGTCGTACTGGGGGGCTAAAGGGTACCGAGTACCCAGGGCCCGAGGCGGGGGGGGGGGCCCTTAGAAGTCGCCGAGCTCAAGTCAAAAGTCCGTCTCCAGAACCCCACCCATCCCCCCGTTGGAGAAGTCACCAAGTTCAAGTCAAAAGTCCGTCAACACCCCCCCCCCTCTGTCGCCGAGAGTGGGTTTGTACCCAGGGCCCAAAATTTGGTACTACACCCCTGCCTGCGGACACAGGTAGAGATTAAGGAGATTACCTGCGGACACAGGTAGAGAGTGAGGAGATTACCAGGGTACACAGGTAGAGAGTGAGGAGATTACGTGCAGACACAGGTAGAGAGTGGAGAGGTAGAGTGGAGAGGTAGAGTGGAGAGATTACCTGGGGACACAGGTAGAGGCTGAGGAGCTTGGCGATGGCGATGGACAGCTCGGAGTACCTCTCTCCCAGAAAAGCTTTCACTGGTGGATGGAAGTCGGAGTAGTCTGAGAGCGCCGGCACCGACCCGTTAACGGCCAACAGATGCTCCACGCAGTGCAGAGCCTTGGTGGGAGAAGCACACGAATCACACACTTCATATCCCAGCTTAATCCCCGGAAGTAACGAAGAGTTGTTGATTTCTTCGATTGTGTAGATGGCACCCAGCGATTGTAGAAATGGGATCAGATCAAAACTGGAAATATAGAGAAAGACACTTAGTATTAATTTCTTAGCTGACCAGCTGTAAGATTATTTGTTATTAAAGGATTAGTTCACTTCAGAATTCAAATTTCCTGATCATTTACTCTCCCCCCCCAAGTCATCCAAGATGTTCATGTCTTTCTTTCTTCAGTCGAAAAGAAATGAAACATTCCAGGATTTTTCTCCATATAGTGACTTCAATGGGGTCCAAATGGTTGAAGGTCCAAATTGCAGTTTCAGAGCAGCTTCAAATGCTCTACATGATCCCAGCCGAGGAATAAGAGTCTTATCTAGCCAAACCGTCGCTCATTGAATAAAAAAAATAAACATTTATATACTTTTAACCACAAATGCTTGTCTTGCACTGTGATGCACCACACATTACATAATCTCGTTGAAAGGTCACGTGTGTTCCGGTTCAAAAATGTTGGGTGAAAATCTCCATCTCATTTTCTCCTCCAACTTCAAAATCGTTCGACATCATTGTTTTACCTTTTTTTATTTTTGTATATGGCGTTTGACTTAGTTTTTGCACATTCACTTTGTAAACACTAGGTCTGTTCTTCTGCCTATGTCTCACACGTGACCTTTCAACCTGATTACCTAATGCGTGGCGCATCACAGCTAGTGCAAGACGAGCATTTGTAGTTAAAAAGTATATAAAAGGTTTAGGGTTGCGACGATAGTATTGTGTATCGACGATAGTCAGAGATATCGCTGATGGCTTTGATGATATCAATACGATAATTGGCTCGTTTTCCCATTAATGTATTACATTATTTTTATTATTATTATAAGGCTAGAATTGTTATTAAATTAATATTAGGACCTACAATTAATTTGCCTTGCCTAAATTCATAACGACATCACCACATAATCACATGTGCGACATAACCGACACGCGGCGACACCGACATGAGGACTCCTTAAATTTTTTTTTTTTTAAAAAGACTACAAAACTACATACCACATCAAAATTGAATTGTAAGGTTATCTAAGTATTCACAAATCGTTAACAGACGCATCTTTCTTTGCAGTTGTTGTTTGAGCCAAGATGAAAACGGCATCGTTCGTCAGCATTTTGTTTCCATGGCACATTAACAAAACATTTGATGACACTAATAACACTAAAAACAAAATAATTACAAACTATTAATAATTATATAGGCCTGATAACATTCTTTAGTTCACGAACACAGCACAAATCTGCCATCTGTGAAAAGGTTCTTAACCCGATTATGCTGAATAAACTGACAATGCATGTGGTTTTGTAAACGCATTAACCTGTTTTCCTTTATAGCAGTAAAGTCATGTTTAAGTACCCAGCTAACACAGTACGTTGTGACGACGTCGTCAGTTAGTCGTCATTTGGTCAGCATGACATTACTCTGTGACAACGTTGTGAGGAAGTCGTTGTGGTAAAATTCCATTTTTTAGAATCTTGGCTAACGTCGTGGGCACGTCCTCAGAAAACATCGCTAGTTCATCCCAAGGAGAACGCTGTAGAGACGTGGTCCACTGGTCTCCTGATAACTTTACAGAAAATTGCATTACAAGTATTATCCTAGTGATATATGCCGTTTGGATATTATATGGGGCATTTACTTAATTCATCAAAGGTTTTATTAAGTTATCAGTGGACCACATCTCTACAATGTTGTCCTTGGGCTAAATGTGTTAATTCTAGATGTTTATTTATGTAAATGCTGCTTGACTGACTATGGGCGTGCGGGTTAAACATGCGAAGCGCTTTCAAACCCTGGAGCGGCGCAGAGTTGCCATGGAAACGGCGCAGCACCACTGCAACTGACTAGCAGCAAAACTCCCTCTCTCGCTGTTGTTTTTCACTGCTTTCAGGTGAGTTTAGTCTAAAATCACACAAAGAATACACACAACTGTTCTTGACATTTTTCTTACGTGTTATTGACACACATCTGTTGAATATTTACTTTTTAGAAATAGTTTAGTATCTTCGCAAAAGTCCGTTAGCATCTCAACCGTTTTCAGAAGAGGTAGGCTAACCTAAGCTCTTGTTTATAAAAGTTTGGGCTTTTAATCACATATTTATGTGTAGATGAGATTTTTTTAGTTTTGTAAAGGTTTTGCTGGCAGTTGAATGGATGATTGGAAGTTGGCTAATTTATTTAACGTAACCAACTGATGAATGTATTTGCTGTTAATCGAAGACGTCACTTACACGGAGCGCTAAAAATGTCTCAAACTAACTGTTAGTTCAAATGCGTTTTGATCTTTCACAGTTAACAAATATTGATAAATGTTGTGTTATTTTTATGAAAGATATTTTGTTTTATTTGTTATCTTCAGAGAAGCTCAAGGACTATAGATCTTTGGTAATCTTCACATTGTTCAGGTTTAGCTACTGGTAGTGAAGCAATGAAGACATTTGTAGCAGGACCCTCACATATAATATACTGAATCTTTTATTTTATTTTATTTTTTGTCTTTATTGTTTTTGCGCCAAATTATAGAGCGTAGCGTCAATAAGAGTATTGAGAAGTATCAGTGGTAACATCATTATTTAACTACACCCATCCCTAATAAGACACTTTTTCAATAAAAATAATAATAGTTGGTTACATTATTCACTGATTATGTTTTTTTGATTAATTGACGTGTTAAATTTCTGTACTCATAACTGTTAACACTTCACATGGTTAAAAAATCGTTAATGTCCAAAATGTATTGGCTTAGTAATTGTACAAAGTAACACTGAATAAATGCTGATTAAAAAGGAATGCAGTGTGGTGTTGGGCCATCTTCTATTTAGAATTTAATAGGGGTTTGTATTGGTTTACATTTTCATATATGTATTGATCCCTCAATGTATTTACTGAAAAACAATACACAATTCCCTATTAGAATTTATAAGGTTTTACAGCAGAGAATGTTTGAGTTGATCAGTTCTATGCTGATTTCAGGGTTATGGATCAAGCACATCTTCATTCCCAGGACTAAAGGTGAGAAGGGTTTTAAAAATAAATGCGGACCTGGTATTTTGGTCATCGAGACGTTCCTGCCGCGTCCAGCAACGTACCACTATACCGTCGCCACGACGATTATGGGAATCACAAAGTGTCGTCGCTGGAACGTTATTTGGCACGTCGCTGCGACTAATATGGTCCTTTGATGTTACGCCCTCGCAGCCAGTTTGGTCATCGAGACGTACTCATCACGTTCTTGCAAAGGACCACTATAACGTCACCACGACGATTATGGGAATCACAAAGTTGTTGCTGGAACGTTATTTGGCACGTCGCTATGACGAATACAGTCTGGTCCGGTTACGTCTTCACTACGTAACTGTGTATAACCCGACCGACTCGGTTTTTAGATCTAGATTTTTGCCCCTTACTGATTTCTCCCGGCATGTAAAACACATGAACCCGCGTTCTTCGGGCTTATCGAAGTGTGCATATGTGATAGGCCAGAAAACTGGTAGGAGGACATATATCAAATACCAAAGAATTTATAAAAACGTGTTCTCATCTCGTGCAGAAGTACAGTCAAAATTCTGCATCTGTAACGGCATGAGAGGATTATATGTGTCCCGCTGACATGTTGAAATACTCCTGCGTTTTTAATGCTTCATTTAACATCACAACAGACATAATAAATTGAATACTAGTCAGATACAAGAATGAGGAGGATGTTTTTATACCTCACTATACTGGGAAATAACCAGATTTAGCCTATTATTAAACACTCCACCTTTGCTAGCAAAATAGAAAAATATTCTCATACATAAAACAAAGTAATTAAACAAGCAAATTAATGAGTAAATAAGCAAGTTAATGAGTAAATAAGTAAGCCCCGCCCCCAGCACGATTATATCATGTTTCGCCGATCTCACAGGCTGACGATATGAAAAACACTAAAAATGTTGTTATAAAATGTCCGCTGGTTTGTCTAGATCAGACTCTTATTCCTCGGCTGGATCGTGTCGAGACTTTGAAGCTGCACTGAAACTCACATCTGGACCTTCGACCCGTTGGACCCCATTGAAGTCACTATATGGAGAAACATCCTGGAGTGTTTTCATCAAAAACCTTCATTTAATTTCGACTGAAGAAAGAGAGACATGTACATCTTGGCTGACGTGGAGGAGAGGAAATGATCAGGAGGTTTTAATTCTGAAGTGAACTACTCCTTTATATAGAATAATAAAAGTACATGGAACCCACAACTATAAATAAACAAAAATGCTTTTTAGATGTGTTTTACTGTAATACTCAGATGATAACAAGTGAGATTTCAAAGAACTGAACTTGTAAACATGTGAATGAAGGTGATGTGCAGGTCTCGGACACTCACTCGGTGCAGACGAAGGGCTGAGGTCTGGTCCTCTTGTGGAGGTTGATCACTTTAGAGTGGATGGAGCTCAGGATGGCGATGTTGATGTCTCCTTGCATGTACGCTCCGCTCAGGGAGCTGGGAAGATCACAGCGGACCCAGAGACCCGAGCTCAGCATCAGCAGGGCCAGCACACGCAGATCCATGTGGGACAGCATCGCCAAACAACATGAGCGCACACATCAAGTCTATCATCTATTTATTGTAGAACTGGTTCTGCTTTTCATGTGACGTGAGCCAGAGGGCCGGCAGTGTCTGAACGATACCGGTTTCCCAGAGAAATCCACCCGCTCCGGCACATTTCTGCACAACTGGAGGAATGTGGACTTACAGTAACAGTTGATTACGTTTCTCAGGAGATGAAGTCATGGAAAACCGGAGAGACTTCAGGATCTGGTTCAGCGGGTCTGTGATCAATCCGCCGTCAAACCTGACCAAAGAAACAGTTCTGATGAAAGGGGGATCGGGGAAATGACACCGCACCAACTGAAGCTATAGCTATAAAGTAAAAGAAGTGGTGAGAGTGAAATGAGAGTGAGATTTGAGGCGCACACACACTGAGTGTATCGTGTAGTACAATATAATCTTGACCTTTCATCCCACTGAATGTCTCCTGTATAGTGAGATGTTTAATCTGCTAAACCAGTAATGATGAAGAAGTGGACTCCTGTGTTACACATTATCAAGCGCAACACTTTAATAATGATGAATGTACATCACTGCTCACGCGGGTCATTATGGAGCCTTGCGTGAGTTTACAGCGACAGAGGCAGATTTACAATGACAGATTCATCTCATATATGCAATATGATATTATACTGACGGAACCTGAACCCAGTTATGCTGTACAATACAGACATCTCAACATGAAACTCTGAATATGAAACACAATAAAGAATATTAGACAGACACCTGAAAGACACAGCTTGTGTCCATCTGTGTATTTATCAAAAGATTCTAGTTGGGAACATTATGATCTTTATGATGGTTTTTCGTCACTGAAATCCTCAGTATGCCTGATTGATTTCTAAAGATATATTTTACTAATCTATTTCAAAACTGTATTTTCTCATTAATATTCTCATGAATGTATAGTACAGTAATAAAAAACATTAATATTTCAGATGGAGACTTTGTGTTCTCTGGGTTCAGAATTGGGGTTTTTTTCCTCCAGGTTCTTTAAAAGCCGAAACAGAGAATGCCGTGAAACGGGCTGATCGAGATTCTCCAGTAAACACTGAGTGTGAGATAAAGCAGAAGGCGTGACCTCGTCACGGACCTCGAATTACTGTCTGATCGTTATCTTTATCTGGCCTCCAGTCAGGACTGCCCCTAAAACACTTTCACTTTAGTTGACAAATTCATTTAGTGAAATATACATATCTTTATTAAACAATAAACATATCTTTGTGCAGGTGCAGTGAAAGGGCTGGAGATGCAGCGCAGCATCACACACACACACACACACACACACGCACGCACGCACGCACACAAACACGCACACACAGAGATAAACACACTCACACACACAGAGATAAACACACACACAGATATAAACACACGCACACACACAGAGATAAACACACTCACACACACACACACACACACACACACACGCACGCAAACTGTCATTGATCTTTTCACATAAACTCTTTAAAAAACATCCTTTTGTTCATGACACTGTATTTTAAAGGGGTCATATAATGGTACATGCACTTTTACAAGTTGATTGTACTGAAATGTGTGTTGGCAGTGCCTGTACACAACCATCATATAATGATAAAAATCCATCCAGTGTTTTTGTTTTAATCTCCTTATATGTTTTCCCCTGCCTCAAATCGAGCCGTTCGGCCGTGTGACGTCAATAAATCGGACGCCCCTCCCACTATTGTTGATTGACAGCAGCGTTTCAGCACAGACCCGCCCTGAGCGAGCTGTCATCATAGTCCGCCATTGTTGATACGCTGGAGCAGAATGGTGTCTAAGCGATTGTGGTGTTCTGTTCTTGGGAGTAATAACGAACACAGTCATTTTACAGTTTTTTACAATCACTTTGTTACTATTTTCAGAACCTTGATGTCATTTTTCACAACTCTAGACACAAAACTCACAACCAATTATCAAAATGCACATTTTTCAAAACTCTAACCATTTTCTCAATTGCTTGGATACAATACACATAAAACTTAGATCATTTGTTCATTCAACAAAAATCACTTGTTCAATATGACACAACTTAACATCAAAGTACTACTATTTCAAAAGGCAATTCACACATTACATTTCAAATGAATGTCTATTCATTTCCTTACACTGATCTAACTATCAATTGATACAACTGCTCAAAATGATAAGTAACTGTTGCGTTACTCTTAATGCATAGTTGTATGGAAACAGACAAACAATATTCCATGTTTACAGTAAATCATGAAAGTTTCAAGATAACGAGATTCATTGTCACCAATGAGCGTGGAGCATGAACCAATTAGACTACAATATCCATGGATGTAGCCTAATATTTTATATCATGAGCCATTCCACCGAAAGGGTGACATTTCTGTCCCCAGGACATTATATGTATAAAATTGCATGAAAATTAACTCTAAAATACATTTTATTATTAAGCAAAATGTCCTGCACATTAAGCTACCTACAAATTTAAAATGTATATTTAAAAACTTAGATAAAAACTACATAGAACACTAAAAAATTGCATTTTCTGCATGTCCCCACTCTCCATCTCTAAACTTTACAATGAAATATAATGATTCAAATCCTTCAGAAATCTGAATTTTTTTTTATTGTTGTGTGACTTTATATCCAATCTGCTTTAAAATGAAAAAAGAAAAAGACATTTTATCTAATATTTGAGATAAAATACACATTTTAGTCATGTCCCCGGGTTTTCACTCAGTCCTGTTACCCTAACACATTACCCCCTCTGAAAAACTGGGAATAATCCACAAGACCATTTTCAACAGTAAGTTGCATCATCTGGATCTTCTGAAGGCAATGGGAAGACCATAAGTTAGTCTTCTCATTTTAATTTCTGTATATGTGATGAAATTGTAACTACGACTGAGAAGGTCAATCTCAACATACTGTCCTGTTACCTAAACTTTTTCTTAGATTTTATTTGTTTATTTTAAAAATATTAACTTTTGGAAAGGCACTAGAAATGGCTCAGTGTCCTCATGCTATTAGCATGTACTATGTGGCCATATGCCATGTATTTGATAACTTTTTGCTTGAAAACTCAATCCTGTTACTTTCAGTCCTGTTACTATTTTTTTCATTTTTCTAAAAAAATTAAATTAAATCACTGTTTTTATCAGTTTTGTTTGGCCCATCATTTATACAATTATTTAATCAATTAAATTGTTTAAAAAATATATAAACTTGAGGCTTTGGTCTTCTTTAAAATGAAAAAAATGGCTTTGTGTTTTTTATTAAAATACACCTTGCCTTAATAGTGATTTTATTGTCACAAATATACATTTTTGGAACAAATAACCAACAATTTCTTTAAAATAAACACTTTCTTGTGGGGAAAACAAAGGAATTAATTGACATGCTTTTAAACTTGCTTTTTAAATGGCACATGGTTTTCGGTAACAGGATTGAGAAAACATGCGCCCATCTTCTGCTTAAACCTTGTAAAAAAGTAAATAAAGTTGCCTGAGATTGACCAATACACATTTTGAATAGTTAAATATGTGTAGTATTAGATTCAATGTTGAAAAAGATAAAAAATAAAGTTTAATTTTGAAGAAATACAACAAGCAAATGTCACCCATTCGGTGGAATGGCCCTCATACTGTAATGCTTCATCAGACACTGTGTCTATGGTCCCAAATACTGTACCACCTTTTCAGACTATTTAAAGTATTGACAGTACTGCACTGTAGAGATGCAGGCCCTTGGAATTGCTTGTCCAATTCTGCCAACTCGTTACTGATGATTGAGGGCACATTGTGGAATGAGTATATAAAGAGTTGATTGGGATCCAATTGCAAGAGCATAGTGATACGTAACATGGAGCCAGCAGGTGATCCAGGTCACAATGGAGGTCAAGCAGTGGTGGGAGGAAGACGAGGAAGACGTGTTGGTCAAAGGAATGGTAGGGGACAGGCAGCCCTTCTGAGAGGTGGTCGTGGGCCTCGTTTGAGAGGTGTGGGGGAACGTGGTAGAGGACAGGCACCCCTTCTGAGAGGTGGTCGTGGGCCTCGTTTGAGAGGTGTGGGGGAACGTGGTAGAGGACAGGCACCCCTTCTGAGAGGTGGTCGTGGGCCTCGTTTGAGAGGTGTGGGGGAACGTGGTAGAGGACAAGGCCACGGACCAAGACAGCGGCAGCAACAGCATAGAGTGTCCAATGAAATTCGGGCAATAGTTGTAGACCATGTCATAAATCATGGCATGACAATGACTGAGGCGGCTACAATGATACAACCAAACCTGAGAAGGTCAACCGTGGCCTCAATAATCAGAACTTTCCGCAATGAGAACCGGTAAGTTATCAGCATGCACTAAACATTATGCTACTCTCAATTGTCAAATGACTGCATACCAATGTGTATCACAGAATAGGTGATGTGACCAAGTGTCTTCTTACTCTAATGTTCCCTGTAGAATTGTGACTAGGCCAAATAGTGGAGGCAGAGGCAAAATTCTAACTGACCAGCAAGAGCAGGCTGTGGTCGATTTGGTTCGGGCCAGAAATGATATTCGCCTTACAGAAATTTGCCAGCATATCTTGGACAATGAAGACATGTTCAACAATGTGGGATCCATAAGTTTGCCGACTATTGCACGCATACTGAAAAGGCACCAGGTATCTATAAAACAACTATACCATGTGCCTTTCGAAAGAAATGCAGACAGAGTGAAACAAATGAGGACTGAGTATGTTCAGGTAAGTTCAGTTTCAAGACGGCTGTTGTAAAAACATTCCCAAAAATTCTACATTGTACGGTAATCTCTAAATCTCTTTCCAAAATGTATTTTTAGAGGGTGATGGAGCTGGATGCTGATGACGACCATCACAAATTCATATATTTGGATGAGGCAGGTTTTAATCTGGCCAAGACAAGGAGGAGAGGTCGGAATTTCATTGGCCAGCGGGCAACCATCCAAGTACCTGGACAACGTGGGGCCAACATTACCATGTGTGCGGCTATATCAGAAGATGGTGTGGTGGGACGCAGACCTCATATTGGACCATATAATGCAGCTCTCCTTGTCACCTTTCTTGATGAGCTCGAACAGGTTTGTAGAGCTGAAGGTGTGACCTATGGTTTCAGGCCCATGCACAATTTAACACCCTGTATTTACCCCCATACTCCCCCTTCCTTAACCCGATTGAGGAATTTTTCTCCGCATGGAGATGGAAGGTTCATGATAGGCACCCTCATGAACAAGTCACTCTTCTCCAGGCCATGGATGACGCCTGCAATGACATCACAGCAGACCAGTGTCAGGCCTGGATTCGCCATGCCCGAAGGTTTTTTCCAAGATGTTTGGCTAATGAAAACATCCATTGTGATGTAGATGAGAACCTGTGGCCAAATCCACAACACAGAGTTGATGACAATGTAGAAGTACAGTAATCACTGCTGTTTTATTTCTTACAGTGCAAGCAAGTTGAGGAACACTGCATTTGATGGTTTACAGTACTGTCTTTTCTTTTCTATTTCATTGCATTTGATGGTTTACAGTACTGTCTTTTCTTTTCTATTTCATAGCTAATTACTGTATTTTTGCTTTGATTAAAATAAACCAATGTTGTGATTGTACTGTAGTGTTTTGCATCAATATATTACAAACTTTGTTCAATGATTCCACTTTGTCTGTAATATTCTCTCTACTACTGCAGTACTTTACAGTAACAGAGGTATTTACTGTACATGTAGTACCATAATGAAACCTGTATCACCTATTTTGTTCTACAATAGTTAATGATTGTACGAACAATGACAGAGTGAAACTATCGGTTGCTTGTGTGTGGGTGATCTATAGTTGTGTTTCAATGGTATTTCACAGTAAATTTGTTTTTTGAACCAATGATTGTGCAAGTGCAAGATTTCTTTAAAGATAAGAATGCACAATGCAATGTTTTGAACATTAGACAACCTGTGTTACAAGTGATAACCGTTCTGAGTTTTGTGTCTAGAGTTTTGAAAAATGACATCAAGGTTCTGAAAATAGTAGCAAAGTGATTGTAAAAAACTGTAATGTTCCTCAATCCGAACCGCTGAAGACGCAGTGGCTGAGTTTTGTTTTCGAATGGGAATATTCCCCACGAGCAAGATCCATGCGTTCATGTTTGCGCGAATCATTTTTCGCCAGACTGCTTTATAAACGAGGGTCAGTATAAAGCTGGTTTTGGTAAGAAGCTGCTCATGAAAAAAGAATCGGTGGCAACTATTTATGTTCCCTCTGCACCTCCAGAAGAAGTGAGTGTAAAGTTTTATTAACCTTTATATTAATCTTTGCAAATCACGAAGAAAAGTTTTTCATGACCATTAGTTGTAACATCAATCTGTCAACGAACTAACCTATACATCAGTAAACACACAGCGTTCGTATCTCACTACTCTACCCTGCCAGTGCATACAAAGATAGATCAAAGTGACATTATGTTACCCAACCATTCAGAAACGTCCTGTTCGAGCCTTAATTGTCGAACTTCTTTGCGGCCGTCATCTTGTTCCAGGTCCAACTCCGGTTCAAACTGATAAGATTGCACAGATGTGTCCTCAGAGACTCCCGCTGCCATTCTCTCTCCAAAATATACCCTCAACTGTTGTCAAGGCAACACTCCACGTGCGTTGTGTCGAAACGCCCGCAGAACAGAGGGGCGGAGTCAGCGAAGCTCATTATCATTTAAAGGCAAATGCACTGAAATGGCGTGCTGAAAACAGAGCTGTTTTTGACCAGGTAAAATGAGTGTTTTCTTACAATCATAATGAGAATTTTTAATTAAAGTATAACACAAATTTTGTATTTAGACCCTAAAGAATCATATTAACTTGTATAAACATGGCATTATATGACCCCTTTAAAGATTACGTTTTACAGATATTTATTGGGAAGGGTTTAAACAATGTGTTTCATGCAAGCATAAACAATTTTTGCACATGAATCTGTGGAACAGTCTTTAAGATACTAACAGTTTAGAGGCAGTAGACAATAAATGTCAGTTTCAATCAGTTAGGACATTTAAGAAAGAGACCTTTCAACTGACTGAAAAACACCAGCAGAAAGATGCCAGCAGTCTCTGGTCACCAGTGTGAACATGCTATAGTCCTGCTGAAAGGAGGCATGAGGACTGTAGATGTGAACAGAGCAATAAACGTCCAAATTAAAGCATCTGGTGGACACACCACATACTGCTACTTTTGATATTGACACTCGCTCTGTTCAGGGATGCATTATTACGATTATGCATGTCAATGTCTAGCCCCTTTCACACAGAGATTCCGGAAAATACACGGATAATGTGTCCTGGGATTTGTCCCAGGATCGTTTGATTTTGGTTCATTCACACTGCCAGTGATTTTCTGGAATCTGTGAGTGCATTCACTAGGGCTGGGACGGTCACCGCATTACTGCAATATCACGGTCACGTGACGCCCAACGCGGGTCTGCGCTCGTCACCGCCATCACCACACAAAAAAAACATTGGCCTGCACATGTGTGCACGTTGTGTCTAATAACATGGATTCATTGATCCTAATGACATGGATTGTGTCTAATGACACTGTGTCTTCCATGGATTCAAGGATTTCTAAACAAAACTTATCATCAAAAGATGGAGCAAATCCGACCTTTCGCGACTGGGGGAGCGGAATGTTCCGTGACACATAATAGCATTCCATTCGTATTGACTATTAGGCCTAAATGCGAGAGTACCTGTGTAATGTCTTGTAGCCTATAATTTGAATTTCATTTTACTAAAGCATAAAATACAGAAGCATGACTGATGAGGAAACCCCAAAAGCAGGACCTCAGTTTTTAATTGCACGTGCTTATTTAACACAATTCTCCCGACAATAGCGGGTAGGTAGATGGGCTACTATTCCATCGAAACATAGCAGAGAGGGCTAACTTGGTGGCAAAGCCAAATGTCACGCCGCCAATATGGGCACATTTTGGCTTTGAACCAGACGAAAAAGGACTTCCAGACAATTTGGATGAGTCCATTTGTAGAATTTGCCACAAAAAGATACCGGTATCACGCTCAAATACTTACAACCTGAGGACGCATCTTCGAATCCATCATCCGGCGACAGCCATCAGTGCCGAACCCTGACGGATAGTGTGACCCGCCTTCTGGTGGAGGAAAAGTTGCCATTTAACTAAGGTGAGAAGCCAGCCTTTAAGGCGACGCTACAGGCCTTCGACAAACAATATGTGCCCCCTGAACAATATGTCCCCCCAAAAAAGGCAGTACCAGAGAAGTATGTGAAAATGAAGGACAGTTTGACTCGCGAGCTAAAAGATGCTGACCATTATCCTCTCACAACAGATATGTGGTCAAGCGTGAACATGCCCTATATGAGCGTGACCATTCATTACCTGAACACCAACTGGGAGCTGTTGTCAAGGTGTTTGGAGACCTCCTTCATCCCAGAAAGTCACACCAGTGACAACCTGTCCAAGGCTCTGCGATCCGCTCTTGAAGAATGGCCTCTGGATGAGGAGAGGTTGGCTTGTGTCACTACTGATAACGGAGCCAACATTGTGGCTGCGGTGAGGAAACGTGGATGGGGATGGCTACCATGCTTCGGCCACAACCTCCATTTAGCCGTCACCAGCTCCATGATAGCAGAAAAAGAACGCACCGCCGGGCCATGGGTTTGTGTCGAACGCTGGGGACCGCTTTCTCCCATAGCTGGCAAAAGAAACAACGGCTTCAGAAAGAAGAAACTGAGCTAGACCTGCCTCAGCACGCCTTAGTCCTGGCAAGTTTGAACTCTCTTCCAACTCTGTTTTGGAAAGATTGACTACAAATAAGCTGGACCTGTGAGATTTCATCCAATATAATCAATAAAATAATCTATTGTAGTCAATTAAACATTTAAGAAATTCAAATTTCATTAAAAGGCTATCAAAAAAGAAATCCATCTGGCAGGCTTACAATCACAGTAGTGTGAGCAGCGACACTTTGTGAAATTAAATAGCCTTCGTTAAATAGCCTTGAACCACTGAGACAAAAGCGCACACGAGATATGTAAATTAATATAAATATGTAAAAATATGTTATATATATATATATAATATGATATAAATATTATAAAAATTTGTATTATTTATATTTTATAAGTAATATACAATCACGGTAGTGTGAGCAGCGACACTGTTAAAGTAAATAGACTTCGTTAAATAGCCTTGAACCACTGAGACAAAAGCGCACACAAAATATGTAAATTCATATAAATATGTTATAAAATATACAAATATAAATAATATAAATATAAATAATATTTATATTATATATATATAAGTAAGACAACAAACCCAAAAGGCGCACATGTGATGTCATAACTTTTCTCTCAATGAATGCAGCTAACTTTACTGAAGCTAACGTCTGTCATTTTTTCTATAGTCTTACGTTACAATCGTAACGTTACGCCTGAGTGTTTTGTACCAGACTGCACACATATGTGCAACGGATCTTGCTCGTTGTTTCGCTTCCCGAGTGATGAAAGGACCAGGAGTCGTTGGATTAAACACATCAGGTGAGATACAAATCTGCGTGGAACATAGCTAAGTTACCTAGCTAGTAGCGAGCAATGAACGTTAGCTAGGATTACCACGTTAACTTAGCCATGTCATTTTCATTACTCGCAATATTTAACAGTAAGAGAGTAGTCATGAAGTTAGGAAGAGTTCGGCAAGTATTTAACATGGGTGAACCCTTTGAAGAGTACTGCCACACCAGTGTGATCATTCTGGAATATACCATTTTGTGTTAAGTTGTGTGAACATTGAATATTAAAAAGATCAGGCAGTTCGGGGAGAATCGGAAGGCAGGAAGGCAGCCATGCATGTCATTCTTCTGGACAAAGATTTTCATTGTGATGGTGAGTCAGTCTCCTTTTTTGGCAAGGTAGTTTGATAATTAGTGAGAGAGTGAATGAATAAGTCTAACACTGCGCCACCCTGAGAATGCTAAGGCAAGTACCCAATTAGGCACACAGCTTCCAAAAGCACTACACAGTGGATGTGAATTCCATGCAATCAAAGGTTTATTGAAGAATTCGGGGGAAGGGAAGTTCCTGTAAAGCCTAGTTCACACTACAGGATTATAAGCCCGATTTAAGCCCGATTTGCAAATCGTTGAGCTCGTCGACAGGTCAGGGTGTTATCGCGTGCAAATCGCGGGGGATTAGCGGGCGATGAACGATCGCCAATCTGTTAGTATGAAAGAGCCAACAACGCATCAAAGACGCTCGCAGACGCGTCGCCGAGCCCAGGAAAATATCTAGCATGCTAGATATCCAGAGCTGTCGCACGACTCAAGCTCACGTGATGTCATGAGCTACACCCAATCAGAGCAAGGCATGGGTTGAGGTCATGATGTCATGAGCTACAGCCAATCAGAGCAACGCATGGGTTGAGGTCACTGGGTAAAGACGCGGGTAAATACGCGATTTTCAAAGAAACACGGAAGACGAGTTTACAGAAAGATTAGCAACATGTCGTCAAGAAAGCAATGGACTCAGGATTTGGAGCAAAATTTAATCGAACTGTGGCAGGAGCATGAATGCCTTTATGATGTTGGACATGAGATGTACCACAACCGCTCAGAGAAAGAGAAAAGGTGGACGGAAATTACAAACGCTCTCAAACAGCCAGGTGAGCAAAATGTTATTTTTACATTATCTAAATGTTATGTGTTGAAATGTAAATTACATCTTTTTACTGTAATTCTGTTTATTGTGATATATATTATTGTGTAGTAAGAGGATATTCAGTTAAAGTTTAATTCCAATCTGCCTTTTGTACCAGTCGAGAGACACTTTAAACCAGGGAAGGATTAAATTGTCATTTTTAGTTTGAAACAGACAAATAAAATAAATGAATTTGTGGTGGTGGATAACTGAGAATAATGCATTTTCTTTATTAATTGTAGAGTTTACTGTTGAGGACATTAAGACCAGGGCAGTATCCCTGCGAACGCAGTACTGTTGTTTGCAGAAACCCAAACCAAGTGGGAGTGGCTGCAAACCCTTGACTCCTAGGCAAAGGTGGCTTCTCAGAGTGATGGATTTCATCAAAACATATATTGTCCACCGGCCATGCGAAACAACAGTAAGTTAAACGGTCAACAGAAGCAAGACATGTATTTGTAATAGCATCCATTTGTAACACTCATACACCAACACATACATATTAAAACGAACAAGGCCCGTGAGCGGTCTTGATGCGTTTTTGTTTACAAACTATTAAAAAATTACAAACTATTAAAAGTTTACAATTGTTCTGCACACACACACACCCCACACACGCCACACACCCGCATGCCACACACACGCACGCCACACACCCCACACACACGCATGCCACACACCCACACACCCCACACACACGCACGCCACACACACGCACGCCACACACCCCACACACACGCATGCCACACACCCACACACCCCACACCCCACACACACGCATGCCACACACCCACACACCCCACACACACGCATGCCACACACCCACACACACGCATGCCACACACCCACACACGCACACCCCACACACGCACGCCACACACGCACTCCACACACGTTTGGATATTTTTGGGATTAAATGGGTTAATAGTGCCAGATTTGGCATATACAAAAACATGCACACTCGCTCAGTCACTGACTGAAAAAATCACTGAAAAATACAATACCACACACATACACACGCTGTCTCACACATGCTACAGTAAACAGTAATACTTTATTCTGCTCTCTTGACTCAAATCTTACACTGTGCTGAACTGGGTAATGTAAGTGCATGTTGTTGAAGCAGCTCTTTCTTAATCCTATCACCGTCTTCTCTGTTCCAGCTTGGTGCATCATTCAGTGGGCAGAGTGATGCAGAGGATATGGACCTCTCAGACCTAAGGCCTGATACACCATCTGTGGACAGCTCCCCACGTACTGCGTCCACCCCAATTCCGTCAAATCAAGAAGCCTTTACATTGTCGGAGGAAACTGCTTCAACTGCCTCAAGTGATAGCGGTAAACAGCCACGTTTGAGCAACAATCCCCAAAAAAAGAAAGAGGGTGTCCGAGGATGTTGTAGAGCTGCAGAAGCTGGATTTGTTGAAACAGATGGTTGCTCAAGTGGACTCACAAACACCTCGGGATACATTAACTTCTTTTGGGAACCAGGTGGCTTTGGAATTGAGGGATATTCAAGACCCAGTTCTGTTATCACGAGTAAAAAGAAGCATAATGATTATGATATACAACGCCCAGGAGAATGACAGAAGCGGGTCATTGTCGTCACCTGGACAACCTACCCCATATCAACCTGTCAATTCAGGTCTACCAACGGCCCAGTCTCATTCCCAGCAGCCTTATTATGCCTCAGGTCATGGGTTTCATAGATCACTTTTGGAGACACAACCCGAACATGCCTATGACTAGACTTTCTAATGAACCTGTGGATTGTGAATTGTGGATTTTTACTATCTTAAACAATATTGTTCTATTACATTTTGTTTTATTATAGTAGTGCACCACTTGCCGTTTAAACTTGTTTGTATAGTGTTACTTTTTTCTTTGATGTAAACATACTTAAAAAAAAAAAAAACACAAATTCTAAAACAGGCTGTCTGTCCAGTTCTCAAAGCTTTTACATTCTAAAGTGAAGTGACCTAATTGACTGTTCAACGCTCAAATTGTTGATGATTGAATTACAGAGTATCCTTCACATCGTTCACATTATAATATATTTCAATTAAAACCTTACAAGTAATAAAAGGAATAACAACTATTTACAACGTGAAGACCAATTGTTTTTTATTATGTACACTCATATGGGGAATGGTATATATATATATTTAACGTATATGTATATTTTAGCTTATTGTTACAACACATATTGCTGTGCACCACAAACACAATCATTGAGAAGCTGCCTATTTAGAGTGCTGGGCGATACACAAAATATAATAGTGTGGGATTGGCTGTTAGATCAATCCATATCGAGTAAAAATGCCCAGTGCTTATCGTAATCGACAATTATCACGATCAGCTATGTTATTATTTATCACCCCAGCCCTAGTATAGGCATATTAATAATGTTCTGTGAATAATGAATGTGGATTACTAAATAAAGGTAGTATAAGGTACTTAATTGCAACATATAGATTGCCTTTAATTGTTACATACCTGCACCGTTGGATTTGTATGCAATTGAAATAACAAATTGAATAACAACACTACAAACTGATAATCACAAAACAATATTCTTTATTAATACTGGATTTTTGAACACACAAGAAAATAAAATTTCCTAAACTGACTTTAACCTGCTGTTTGCAGGGATAACTCTACATCAGTTCCTTTTTAAATGTGTTGATACTGCCAAGAAACACTTCCTCCTGGTGAGACAAAGTAGTCCCGCATCAGATTGCGTTGCATTTTGGCTGTCGCTGTATAATTGCGATGTGAGGTGTTCTCCATCGGTTGGAAAGCACCCATGCCATGATTCCTCCATTGCCCATCAACCATGTTGTGGTCAGCAGTCTCCCAGTCTGCAAAAACTGGAGGGGCATATGCTTCTGACCTGCGCTCGCAGAGGAAGTTGTGGATGCACAGGGAAGCCATTGTTATTTTCACCACCTTGTCTGGCTCCAAGCAAATGGTCGACCTGAACACTCTCAACCGGTTGGCAAGAATGCCAAATGCATTCTCTACCACCCTTCGTGCCCTAGACAAACGATAGTTAAAAACCCTCTGACTGTGCTCCATCTGCCTGAATGGATATGGCTTCATTAGGTCATGCCTGAATGGATATGGCTTCATTAGGTCATGCCTTAATGGATATGCATCATCTCCCACAAACATATAGGGCATCACTGTGTTAGAATCGGGCAAGGACTCAGGTGGGGGAAAGCTCAGTCTGCCCTCGTCCATTGCTTTGCGCAGATCAGAGTGAGCAAACAGTCCGGCATCTGAAACTCGACCTTGGGTACCCACACTTGCGTAGATGAACTTGTAGTTCGCATCTACTGCAGCCATCATACGCACAGAGAACCTGCCCTTGTAATTGTGGTAAAAACTTCCACTTTTTCTTGGAGGCTGTATGTAAATGTGCTTTCCATCCAGTGCCCCAAGGCAATGTGGAAACTGCCACTTCCTTTCGAAATCCATGGCTATTGTATGCCACTCTCCCTCCGTTGATGGTGTCTAAAATAATAGGACACACCAAAAGTCAGTGACTGAATGATTAGAATACAGTTATATGTAGAACAAAATTGGATAGTCATACTTTTGTGAGTCAAACTCCTTCTCACTTAATCCATATAAATATGTATATAAAGATAAACTAGAGAATAAACATACAAGTATGTGTAGACATAAAAATATAATTACTTATGCTTTTTCGGAAGTATATCCCTGTTTGTAATCATAGGTTTTACTAAAATACTTTGAGGAAAAAGGAAAGTCAACTGTATATTGCCGATGTCCACAATGTTGATGTTCTGGGTGTTCTTTTTTTAAATTAAGTTGTAGAGTGTATATCTTTACGTTTTTTAAATAACTCCCTACCTTCAAGAAATCCTCCTTCATAACCTGGTACAGAGCTGTACAGGTTTCCATCACTATTTGATAGATGGTGCTGGTCCCCATCCTGTACTGGAACCTGAGGGACTTGAAAGCTTCACCTGCATGACACCAAACAAAGTCAGAAACATAACTTACCCAGACAGACAAAAACGTTATCACTACATGCAGTTTAAAATGAAATCAGACAAACCTGTTGCCAAGAACCGCAGGGTCAAAGACAGACCCTCTCTGGGTGGTATTGCACGTCTCATCTTGGTGTCCTGCTTTGTTATAAGATGTTGGACTCTATCCAGCAAAAAATCAAACTCCTCTGCCGTCATTCGCAGCAACTCCCTGAAGCCTGTCCTATCATTATTCTATTACAACGATAAATAAATCAAGCAACACAGCTTTTTAGCACAGTACACAACACGTTGATATTTTAACATTTTAAATGCGTCCGGCCAAACATAAACATGCAGCTACATCTCCGATATAAACATGCTGTACTCACCTCCAACTCTCTCTGTAGCACAGACAATCCCTGCTGTTCGCGTATGCGGATCCACTCTTTCACCCATACTCTCTTATTTTTTTTATTATTATTATTTTTTCTCAGAGCAAATTATCGCGCAAACAGTTTGCAGCACCAGGTTCTGTCTGACGTCCATAATCGCGTGTTGTCTTCTTCTTCGTCTTCTTCTGGGTATTGGCGCGCGTGCTGTTTCGCATCATTTCCGGTTCGTTTTATCGCGTGATTTTTTGTGACAAAACGTGGTTTGTAGACAAGATAGAATCGTTGGGTGACAGAGTTGTTGTAAACTCGTGTAGTGCGTTACCTCCTGTTGCGGATCAATCACGTTGTGTCGTGTGGTGTGAACAGCTCAACAACTTGAACACTCCTGATTTCACAGAGAGCAAGTCATGTAGTGTGAACCGGACAGTTCAGCCCGACGTTTTAAAATCATGTAGTGTGAACTAGGCTTAAGAGAAAATATCAAAGGATTATCGGGTTAACCCTTTAGAACCTGAAGCTAAAATAGGTGTTTTTCACACATTTTGATTGTAAAATTCTAAAACAATGTGCTATCTTCATGTGCAAGGTGTCATCTTTTTCAGAAAAAGATTAGCTTTCAACAAATTACAGTTATTGACCATTATTGTGTGTGGTGAGTTTGTAAATAGAATTTAAATAGACAAAAAAATATATATATATTTAGAAAAAACCCTGAAAAATTACGAACGAAAGAAACTGACACTTTAAAGTTGAAAAATTAAGTATAATACATCAGATACAAGTCTTTTTTGTGACATTGGGTTGCACAGTTTTCATTTAGGACACTTTTTTTCATACACACACACATACAAATGCGTCCATTCATAGGCACGCACACATACACATGTGTAACGGATGTGGAAGGACACACTCACAAATGGGGTTCAGCTTGAATTTATCTTTTTTTTGGAAACAACAAGAAGAAAGACAATTTACATTGGCTGATGACAGACTGCAGACATTCATATGGACCACAGCGTCGACACTTGAATCTGCTGCCACTAACTCGTATTATACACATTAGACACATAGTAAAGATATACAATGTGAAAAACTTAACATAACACTTATAATACTTATAATAAGTACACCAATATAAATGTACAGAATGGTTAATTGCAGACAACATCAGTAATTCTTCATTCAAATAACATTTGTTAACAGAATAAACATGAAAGCAACATACCTTTTTTTTGGAAACAACAACATGAAGACAATTTACATTGGCTGATGACAGACTGCAGACATTCATATGGACTAGAAAGATAGAGATTACATTCACTCAACTCATAATACAAATAATCGTCAGATAGTTAAGACAGACGCAATCGTCACGAGAAATGAATCCGTGCTCGCACATGTGACGCACATGTAAATTCAATACATCTTATAATACTCTCAACAACCGTGTTAAAGTGCTAAATGCATTATCTATATGTTCACATATATGTATGAAATATATTGCGTCAAAAAGATTCACTTGAAACGTATCATTTTCACAATTAATTTGTTAATGCGTCAGAGCATGAAAAACCATACATACCCACAGCGTCGACACTTGAATCTGCTGCGGTACGGCAAGAAAAGAGCGACAAAATCCAATATCTGCAGTACCATTAATAGCTGCAGTATCTTCTGCTGTCTGCCACTTCTTTCGCAATGTATTTGTTAGTTTCTTTTACTATTTTATGCAGTCCAAAACACTCTAACCTGCCGCGCTTCGTATCTCTCTGTTAAAATCCTTCCTTCTCTCACTGCCAGAAAGCTGCTGTCATTTGCTGACGGAAAGCATGAAATTACCGTAATAAGCCGTATATTGCAGAAAAGCACATGTTGTCTACTATCAGGGACAATTTGAATGGTTTTGATAGTGCGAACGGTTGAAGAGTTACGGTACAATGAATACAGCTTGCTGGTCTGTGTCAGCGACGACACAGCCGGTTCTAAAGGGTTTAGCATTGTATGACATATTTCGGTAATAAGTCAAAAGTAGATGAATTAATATATTATAAATAAACAAATTGCAAAGTGAGTGAACAGGAAAAAAAATCAAATCAGTATTTAGTGTGATCACACTTTGGTCAAGTCAAGTCATCTTCATTTATATAACGCTTTTAACAATGTAGATTGCTTCAAAGCAGCTTTACAGAGATACTCTGCGTTCGGGCCAATTAGCCAAAATCAGAGCCCTCTCCCTGGACAGCACACCAAATACGTTTACCAATTTAATCTATCCGACTGATTTGTAAGTGTGAACTCGTGAACCTGTGGTAAACGCTGATGGTGTTCACATGCGCATTAAGAATTGATTCGTTTTGGCGTTTGAATATATGTGCGCAGGTTTGTAATTTTCCCACAACGCTTTATCTGTAGAGTGGTATAGGGATCCTCCATAGGGAGAGGCTAGTTGGCACTTCAGCACTGCATTGTCATCGGGTCCAGGCGAAGGTCCTTCGTCAGATCTGGATATGGCCTTGATCCGGCAGGCTGCGGGAAAACCTCGGGATAAACAGGCTAGCTGGAGGTGTGCTCCGGGGTTTTAAGTATTCATTATATAATCTTCTCTTTTTCATTGCAGACGAGCAGACGGAGCCAGATGCTAATATTAGAATTTGCAGCTGCCATTTCCCTCATGGGAAAGACAAAGGGCCAAGTTTGTTTAAATGGACAAAGTGTAGCATAGTCAGCTTACCCTCAACAAGCAAGTCCATCGACCACGGCTATGCCAAAGTGCTTGAGCCTGCAGACCCAGACACCAACCCCGAACCCGGACCCTCGAGTGAGCAGTCTGGACCCAGTTGTGAAGATGAGGCAGGAGATAACCGCTTGCAGTCTGAGCCAGTTGAGATAAAGAGGTCAGGCAGATACTCTGTTGCATGGCTGACAGATGAGGTCATAAGGATGGAAACAGGGCTTCCAGATATGGCCATGTTTAAAAGAGTGGCAGGGTTGGTGGAGCGCTTTGAGGGCTCCATTGTGTATTTTGCAGGATGGAAAGTGGAGGGCATCCTGCTGGAAGACCAGGTTTTCATGGCCTTGATGTAAGTCCGCCAGGACTATCCACACCTGCACCTTGCACAGCTATTTCAGTGCAGTACTGCAACAGACAGTAATGTGGTGAACACCATGATTCAGGGGGTCACGTGATGCTCTTGTTCTAAGTGGCACGTTTTCGCCGAGCTCCCGCGACCATCGCGTTATTTTCTCATTTTTACACTAAACTGCGTGGCTGTTTATTAATTTAATTTTCATCATCCAACTCGTAAACATGTCAGGATCAGGTCCCGCGGCTTCTCAACAAGAAACTAGAAGGGGCCGCACGACAGCAAAAGGCCAACCGTCTGCTAATCAAGGTAACAAAGATGGTGGTTCTTCAGCTGAACAGTCCAGTCTGGTACAGGCCGTAACTGATAATTTAAGCGCTCTCCTGGACGAGAAATTCGCTCGTTTTGAGTCGACGCTGGACACAATTACAACCCGATTAGAGGATAACACGAAGCGAATCACAGAGGCGGAGAGCCGTGTTTCCCAGACCGAGGATGAAGTGGCGGAACTTCATAGCAAGATATCGGCGTTGGAAAAAACTGTACAGTCCCTTTCGGAGAGAGCAGAAGACGCCGAAAATCGCAGCCGGCGGGACAATATTCGTATCATCGGTCTGAAAGAGGGCGCGGAGGGTCGCCAACCTGTTAAGTTCTTTCAAACCTGGCTGCCCAAGCTGCTGGAGATTGAAACAAAACATGGCGCTATTAAAATCGACCGGGCGCATAGAACACTGGGCCCGCTTAAACCCAACCGCGCACGCCCTGTGCTGATTAAGCTTCACAACTACTCGGACAAGAGTAAAATCCTGGCTGCTGCAAAGAAGTCGCAGCGTCTCGCATATGAGGGAAGTGACATTCTTATCATGCAGGACCTGTCAGTTAGAGTCAGAGCGGCTAGACGGGCATACAATGACGTCTGCGGTCAGCTTATTCAAAAAGGTGTCCGTTTTGTGATGCGCTACCCTGCTAACCTCTGTTTCAACCATAATGGGTCTGACCACTCCTTCCATTCTGCAAAAGACGCACAGGCGTACCTGGACGGATTGGACTAAAATATTATGTTGACTTGTTTGGCTGGGACATTACTACAGTCGGTAAATGCTTGGACAGACAGTTTTCACGGTACATTTTTATTTATTTATTTTTATACTGTTCAGTACCAGTTTAGGTTCACGCGGCATTTAAATACTTCCTTTTCATTTACTGCTCAGCAGCAGTGTGGTTTTGAGTGATGTTGTTACCCAGCTGCTTATTCCTATTCCAGTAAATTGTTTATTTATCTAAAAATATATATATATATTCTTATCATTTAATTATTTTTATCATCCTTTTCTTTAATTATTATTATTATTAATATAATATATATATATATATATATAAATAAAAAAAACGTGTTCTGCTTAGGGCACATACAGTAATTTTAGCCACTTGTTTGCTGTTACGTAATATTACGTGTGATGGGAGTGGGGGGGGCTAGATAGAGTTAAACTCCGTCTTTCGGTGTAATGTGGCTGCTTTTTTTCACGTCCTCCGCACTTTTGTTTTCAAGCTTGGCTGGGGGGGAGGGATGTGCTTATTATGCAAGGTTTGTAATCTTTTTTGATAACGGGGCAGGGATGTTTTGGTTTAGTTTGGTGGGTTGTTTTGTTCATTATTATGACCATTCTTTGTGCTGTTTTAACACCTCAGAGCTCTTTTATACCCGTTTTTTTGTTTTAAGACTATTTCTATCCTATGGTAAAATTTGTCAATGAGTGATCTTAAATTAATTAGCCTCAATGTGAAAGGCATTAACCATGTTGTCAAAAGGCAAAAAATTCTCTCTTTTTTTCAGAAGGAGAAATGTCAGATTGCGTTGCTTCAAGAAACCCATCTCTCTGACATAGAGCACATGAAGCTGCGTAGAAACTGGGTTGGCCAGGTTTTTTTCTCCTCTTATAAGTCCAATAGCAGGGGAGTTGCAATTCTTCTTCATAAAAATCTTTCCTTTAAATTAGAAAAGTCGGTTACAGATAATGATGGTCGCTACGTACTTCTCTCTGGT